AAAGCTCATGCTTTAACAGGAGAAACAGAAGATTAAAAAAGTGACATCACTCATTCATTCATTCAACAGAGACAATTAATGGTATTTGCTCTGTACCATGTGCTGGAGCTGGGATTTAGTCTTATTTATCATAAGACTAATGTGGTGCATGCCTTCATGACTTTTGTGGTCTAAAAGGATTGGCAGAGGCTGGCCATGGTGGCTCATGCCTGTAATCTTAGCACTTTTAGTGGCCAGTGTGGGTGGACTGCTAGAGCTCAGGAGTTTAAAATCGGCCTGAGTAAGAGCAAGACCCCATCTCTACTAAAAATAGAAAAAACTATCTGAGCATGGTAGCACCAGCTACTCAGGAGGCTCAGGCAAGAGGATCACTTGAACCCAAGACTTTGAGGTTGCTGTGAGCTACCTCCATGGCACTATATCCAGGGAGAAAGAGTGAGGCTTGGTCTCAAAAAATAAATTAATTAATAAAAAGGGCTGGCAGAAAAGCAAACAAACTGGTATGAAGGATGAGTAGCCTTACACCATTCCCAGCTGTCTGGAACAGCATGTCCAAGGGTCTGTAGGTAAGACAGAGACCATGGGACATTGAAAGAATCAGAAGGAAATTGCAGCATGGAATATGAGGTGGGAAGTGATAATGGAGCGTGGGAAGGACCTACCCAGAAGCAAAAAAAGAACTCATGGTAGGCCTTGGATTTTCTGGGGTGAATAATATGCTAAAGCTATAATAGAGGATGATATTACAATAAGGATGAAACATCACCTTTCCTTTTGAGAAGGCCAAGTGAGTTCTCTTTAGAACAACAATAACATGATAATCTTTGAAACAGTTACTGTTAAGATAATGAGGCGGGCTCTAAGCTAATTTTTTTTTTTTTTTTTTGAGACAGAGTCTCAAGCTGTCTCCTTGGGAAAGAGAGAGTGCCATGGCCTCATAGCTCACAGCAACCTCCAACTCAGGCTCAAGCAATCCTCTTGCCTCAGTTTTTCTATTTTTAGTAGAGACAGGGTCTCGATTTTGCACAGGCTAGTCTTGAACTCCTGAACTCAAGCAATATACCCACCTCAGCCTCCCAGAGTGCTAGGATTACAGACGTGAGCCAGCACGCCCAGTCAGTTAAATACTTTCCATGCCTTTTTGCACTTAATCCTGGACACAAACCTAGGAAATGACTACTAGTACCCCTTTTCCAGCTGGAAAAGTTGAAAGAAAGACCCAAAGTCATGCAACTAGTAAGTGAGGAAAATGGGATTTGAACCTGGGGAGGCTTTTGCTAAAACCTGGACATAAAACAGCTAAGTGAAATAGCTGCTCCTTAGACCAAACCCAGAGCACACACTTGTCCACTTTTCCAAAGCTCTGAAATCTTCCTTTTTCAAAGCTATGTGCCCTGGGGAACAAACCATGGCACCCATCAAGTGGGCCGTTTTGTCCTTGGTGTGTGGAGTTCTAAAAGGAACTGAGGCTCGGCGCCTATGGCTCAAGTGGCTAAGGCTCCAGCCACATACACCTAAGGTGGCAGGTTCGAATCCAGCCCAGGCCCGCCAAACAACAATGACGGCTGCAACCAAAAAATGGCCGAGCGTTGTGT